ACACACACACAAACACACACACACACACACACACAAACACACACACACACACACACACAAACACACACACACACACACACACAAACACACACACAAACACACACACAAACACACACACAAACACACACACACACAAACACAAACACCAGTCTTTGAAACAAAATGTGCTGGAATGAGCAGGCAGACAGAACTCACATCAACTTCACCATTGTATGGTAACAAAAATCAGTGGCCACTGGCCCTGTTTTATTTACTTTACAGTTCAAAAGCCTCTCCCCAATCCAGCCAGATCACTCTTTGCCAGAATGAGTGAAGATCAATCTGTTCATTCTGAACGCTGCTGCTAGACTTGACAGGTTAGTGAAGTATTTAAATGACCTACCTGTGTATTTGCTCAGGACCACCTGGGCTGCTGGAATAGCATTCATCTGAACAATGTTGTACCGATATAGTTCAGTGTTTCTGTTGCTTTTATCCTGCAGCGTTGAACACACCCAGTGGGCGTAGCCTTTTGCTCCCTCAGTCTCAAGAAACAAACAAAAACCCCAAAATAGGAGTCATTATACCTGCTCAAATCAACAGTGAAATAAGATTTTAATAACAATTCTGTGTTTTAAGGCAGAGTCTTAGCTAAAAAAACGCATCAGTGTTGGGGAGAAAACACCAAACTGAATGACTCCACAAAGTTTTAACTTGTCCTTTGGGCAAAGAGAATCCTTACGTTAGCGTATCACTGGCTGCACCACTGAAGAGACGACAGACAAAAAAGCTGTAAGAAAATGTAAAGCCCTCCACTTTCTTAGAACTCAGGGTACCAGCAATATCCTGGCTCTCTCCTGGAATAGTTATAATTTATGACTTTGACCTCTGTCCAATTCTGTGGAACTCAAGAATGCTTTTTCATGACTTACGGAGCTGATTCCTTGGACCACCAGGACTAACATATTTAATAAAATATCTGCCTGTTATTCAGTGACAGCACAGACCAGGAACAACATGGAAGTCAGACAATCTCATCTGGAATGTGACTATAACTGTTTCATCATTCAAGACGTTCCTTTTTTTTTTCTTTTTTTTTTTTTTTTTTTTGAAATTACATCACCTAAGCAGACATCTTAGATACGTGGAAACTTCAGGGCAATAAAACTGTTATACTTACATGCATACTGAGTTCAGTTGTGTGCCTGAAGAGATCCATAGTATCATAGCTGCCTACTGTCTCTGCAATAAGTGCCTGCAGAGAAGCAAGAGTTGCTGTGGTCAAGAACTTTAAAAATTTTGAGACAGACAAGAAACTCAGCATACATTACTTCAGGCACATCTTCGGCGTTTAACATGAAGACACATTCTTTTCCTCATAACTCTCCAAGGAACATCAGTTTGAAGAATAAAATGAACACAATTAAAGGGAACACAAGCAGTTTCTACTTATATTTGAAACTAAAGGTCTTCTGCTGCCACTTTACATTCTTCAGGACAAAGACGGGTGTGTTAGCACAACTTATAACATTTAATTTTCAGGAACAGGCTTAAGTGACAATTATTAGGATGGAGTCCAAGTCCTCTCTTGGACTAACTGGTTTTGGTGCACAGTATTATGATTTTTCGTCATCTTACCTGCCCAATCCAACACAGTAGGTAAGAAGGCTCCAGAGACTGGGCTATCTTGAAGGCTTCATGAGCTTGCTGTAGAACCAAAGATAACAGTGCTGTTGTACTGTCTGGCATGGTAACAGAACGCTTTTGAGTATGAACAGGTATTGACATGCAGTAGTATTGGAAGAGATTTCATGGACAAAATTAGGTCACTATTAAAAATAGCTACTGTGACACAGAGAAGAATGCATTGCCCAGAGAAATAAAACAGTTCAGTCTTATTTAAAAAAGCCCAACACTTTGCAAGACCTAAGTTCCCCTCCTTTCCAAATATATTTCCTTCTTTAAACAGTTCAGCAGCTAGATTACCTCTTAGAACAATTATTATTTTAAAATTCTACTCCTGGAGGATCCAGTTTTAGAAATCTGCTTTTCCTTCATGTAAACAGTTAAACAAACACATTTTCAGCATGGTAAAACTGGTTATCACCCAGAAATTATCTTTTCCCTATAAACTGCTTGTGCCTAAAGTCCCTCCCTCAACACATCATAAGGTGAACAAAGTCCTAGTGTTAGTAGTCTTAGCAGTAAGCAGTAGTACGTTATTTTTATTAAAAATAATTCTGACTGTCACATTTCCATTTAAAACAAAATTTCTGTAATTCTGACCAGAAATAGGATAGGATGTAGTTTTAGCTGCATGAGAACTCTGGACTTTGCTTAAGATGTACTCTAATTCTTCTCCAGAGAAACTCTGAAGGTTACACAAAATTACAGTAAATCATATGACACACTGATGAGCAGAAAGTAGCTGCCTATGGGAAACTCAAACTTCAGTTTGTGACTTACAATTAAAGAGTTCTTCATCAAACCCAGTGTGCACTAGTTTGATTAACTACTTCTCATTCCTTCCAAATACTTTTCATTCCATCCAGCTGGTTGGAAAGCAACCTTACCAATTCAGAAAAAGTTCACTTATCCCCCCCAAAACAAATATTTCATTAATTTGTGTGCCTCAAGTAAGGTACAGGTGCCAATTTTATTTCACACAAAGGAAGTAAGTATCCTGAATCTGAGAGGGACATTCTTCAGTGTATTATGCACACTAATGTCCCCATACACTCCATTTAAAAAAAAAAAATTAAAAAAAAAAAAGGAAAAGGAAACTACATTTGAGGATGGGAAAGATAGTTACCTCAATGTTTCCAGTTTCCAGATACAAAACCCCCAAGTTGGTCCAGGCAACAACATTCTAGACAGAACAAATAAAGTTAAAACCAATGTACTATTACTATATTCAAAAATAACACTGGATCAGGGGAAAAAAGTTTTAAATGCCCACTTGAAACAGATGGCAGCTGCCTACAGCACTTACAATTTGCTCAGCTTGAACAGATTTGATGAACGAATGTTGAGCAAGAGCATAATTCCCAATAGCTGGTGGGGGAAAGAGAAAAAAGGAGAGCTAGATCTAACTGAATTTCATAAACACCGTTAGTCAAGTTGCTTTCTAATTTAGGATATTATGGAGCTAAGGCTTTCGCTGAAGACTTACCACTACAGGAAGCAACCACACCAAGTGCATTCCAATAAAGATGATTTCTGCTGTCAAGCCTCACAGCTTTTTTGAGACACTGGAAAAAAAGAATCAAAGTGTGGATTATAATCACTAGAAAAGCAAAAATTAAAGACCTCATGCACTTACTTATTCAGATATGCAGTCTTTATCGAGGACAGAGAGCATGCAGACAAGGACCAACACCAATATAAATTTTAAAGAACGTAACAGGAAAACCAGGCAATACCTGCAAAGACTTTGCTAGCAGTTCACTGGTCTCATTCACGTCAGTGCCCACTGCTGTGAGGTGTTCTGCTTGTCGATAATAATTTATTCCAAGATCACACCATATGCTAGGCAAAGGCATCAATTTTAAAGCTGTGCCGTAACACCTACAGAAGCATGAATCACAGAAGCATTATTCTGAGCCTTGATGAAGAGCAGAAAGCAGAAAAAAAAATTCAAAAGAGTGCTTAAAAACCTAAACCAAGTAAACATGCATAAATAAAAAAAAAAAAAACAAACCCAAAGGACGAAAAGCAAACAATAACTGACTTTCATGCGGTTATCTTTGCAGCAGCTATCCTGGTGCAAAGGCAGTCTGTAGTGCCCACCCCTTGTGAAGCCACAGATGTGCACTAAATCAAAGCTGTGTCAGCTGCAACATGCACGCCTTCACTTAAACCAAACATCAGTCATTTTTACAGTTAATCAGGCTTCCCCTAAGAAGCATCTGATGTCACAAAACACAGTTGAGATTTACTAAGCAGTTGCATTTTCTGCCTTACACACCCAACCACACAGAGCTCAGAGGGAGTCACAGAAGAGGCTACAGAAACACTACAAGTGTTTTCTACCACCATGAGCTTCCAGGGCTAGAAACAAGGAATTCCCTCTTCCAACATACTCTAGTCCCCATACCTAGGGCAAGAATTAATGACATAAGAAAGTACAGACAGAAGGTTTAAAGTATTATCCTGGACTCAACAGTCCTGGAAGGATTAGTTAGCAACCAGTTGGTTTAAAGAGGCACAATTTGTTGCATGACAGGCAGGATGTAGTCGTGCTCTGGGGACAGACACAGGGAGAAGAGCAGGTGCTAGAGGAAGTGTTGGCAGTCACTATGGCAATCCAGGAAAAGGATCCTGAAATGAGCAGTGTCATTTGGAAGAAGCTCGAGACTCTACTTATCACCACGTTAACCTTTGCTCAATACGCAGGTGTTGACAGATCAGCATGTCTTAAATTTTCCAGAAATTGAACAGTCTAGAAGATTTGAGACTCTAGAGTCTCAAGCTGCACAGAAGGTCTTGTTAATAAAAAATTATTACCTTTCTCCCAGTCTGAGCATCTCACTTTTCTTCAGCATCTGTTTGCCTGCATTTTTACCCATTAGAGATCCTAGAACTTGAACATTCACTTTGGCTGGTGAAATAACATGCACACTGGTACAGGTATCTCCCAACAGTTTCCAGAGGCAAGATACATCAGGACGGTGCTTTGTTGCCCTGTAATTAATGATACACAAAACACTGTATCATTAGTGTTATAGTGACACTTCAATATCCTTTTCTCAAAGAAAGTTCACCACTTTGAGGAGTGGCACAAACTCAAATGTAATTAATCAATGAGCTTTTGATTTGTTTTTCTGATTCAGTTTTCTTCCTATGCAAGCTATAGGTCTAAAAGGACAAAAAAAAACAAAAAAAAGAGAAACTACAAAAGGCCAACATATCCCAACTGTATTGGGAATAAGAGTCAGTTCTGAAAATTAGCCATTATCTATCAAAACTGTCAGCTGACTACACCCACTCTTGCACTTCAGAGCCCCATCATGTTATATTACAAGAAATGACTCATCTGCAGAAACCTGGTGGACCTTCTCCAGTAACAGCAGCTACTCCAAGGTTTAATTTAGGACACTAAAGAATTTCATATCAAACACAAAACAAAAAGATTGATGGAGGTAAGGAGCAATTTCCTCTCAGCCACCATTTTTTGCAGAAATCTCCTCCTGCCAGCCCCATATATACGGGAGGACTGACAGACAGAACTGTGTGCCATTTCAAACTTGTGTTATAAGCAAACGACTCTGTATCTTTAAACAGAAAAAACAAAACTCTAACTAGCATTCATTTAAGCAGCTAGCATGTATTATTTAAACTATTTTCAATAAGTACATTCTTAATCCTAAGTGGAAGCATAGTCCATTTGATTTAGTTTAACTGAAAATCCTCAAACCCTTTACTCTTATTTTTCTGCCTGTCAACTCACAATCCCACTGGAAATTAAATAACCAAAAATTTAGTACTTACCTAGCAAAAAATTCAAGAGCCTGCTCTATGTAATCCACAGCCTTACTATCAAGAAAGTTATCAAGGGCTGATCTTGCCAGCATGAGATGGCACTCACCAAGTCCTGAAAATAAACAGAAAATACCCTCTGTGAAAAGACATCCTTTTATGATACTCTTGAGAAAGAAAGTGGGGTGGGAGGGTGGAAGCCTGCTCAGTGTTCTGCTCATTACAAAGATTTATACCCTGAGCAAGTTATGCCAAAATCCAAAGACTCACAGTGCTCACAGCAGAGACTTTGCTTTTAATCTATTTTATCAGGTGCAGACTGTAGAATAATTTGAACAGTAAAATAAACCTGGGTTTCTTCTCAAATAGTAATTAAAGACCTCATGAGAAATCTGCTCTGCATTGGTAAGTGACAAATACACTGACTTTCAGTTCACAAATGAGTCAAAAATCATTACCAAAACACACAAAAAAGAAAGAATGTCAAGGCACTCAAAAGGAGAAATCTTCTTTGAAGACTTGAAACCAACATTATTTAATCCTGTTTATGTAAGATTTTATTTCATCTGATGCACTGGGCCTGGCTGGGGTGGAGTGAATTTTCCCCACAGCAGCGCTGGCGCAGCACCAAGGCTCTCTCCAACATCCCCCACACACACCAGTGGGCTGGGGGTGGGCAAGATCCTGGGATGTGACACAGCCAGGAACCGACCCAGGCTGACCAAAGGGGTATTCCAGACCATACGGCACCTGCTCAGCAATAAAAGCTGGGGGAAAGGAGGAGAAGGGGGGCAAACTCATTATTTATATTTATGTTCCAGACCAACTGCTGCTCGTCCTGAAGCCCAGGAAACGGCCGGACATCGCCAGCTGATGGGAAGTAGAGAATAAATCTTTTGTTTTCCTTTGCTTCCACATGAGCCTTGGCTCTTGCTTATTAAACTGTATGTTGACACACAAGTTTTTTCCATCTTATTTTCTCCCCTGCTGCCATCCTGCTGATGAGGGGAGTGACAGAGCCGCTTGGTGGCCACCTGACCTCCAGCCACGGTCAGCCCACCACACAGAAATAAATCCAGTATTAAAAAGGAACTGTGTCTAATGTCAGTTTCTAGCACTTTAGAACCAACAAGATAACTGTTTGGTTTATACCCTTGCTGGCACCAGCAGTGATTCCATCTGGCAGTATGGCACTGGCTATGAGCACCATTAATTCACAGTATTATTTTCACAGTTCTGAAGCTGCCTTCCTCATGCTATCATACCCTCTACCTATACCAAACTACCAATCATAGTAGTCATGTTTTGCAAGCATCTTAATCTTGCCCCCACTAGGTGTTTGTTTTGACCACACAGAAGTCCCAAGATCATGAGCTTCTCAGATGTCAAGCAGCTCTGTAATCTAAAACCAAAATTGATTTTATTCCCCAAAGCCGTATATTAAAAGATATGCTGGAGCAGACGCAGAATAAATGTACCATTTAGTAACAGAAAAATAAAGTACATCAGAAAGATGCATTCAGGTAACATCAGTATACTCTCTCACCTACTTAGAGACTACACTTCCAACAAATCAATTCAGAAACTGTCAGAACTGATCAGAACAGTACTAACAGAACACTGATGTATGTTTGAGAGAGTTTTACGAAGGTCCAGAAAAGATAAGACTAAAGATTAAACAGTCTCTAAGAAGGTGAAGACTGTTTAGAGGCCCAAAGTCAGATCTCGAGCTAACAAATCAGAGATTAGGATGAGATGGATTATGAGGGAAGGTTTAGGAGATTTAAGGAAAGAACAAGCATAGCAGTAACTATAGGGGGGAAACCTTGATCTGTGTGCTTATGTCCTCTCTAATCATTTTATTCCAGGTAATGCAGTCAGCTGTCACCTAGAGACACTAAAAAAGCCATATACACATGCACACTTCTACACAACACCTCTGCAAACTGCTGCTGCAGTCAGCGTTACCTTCTTGCCCAACAACTATTAAAACTGCCTATCCACACTAGTCTCCAACTTTGTCACAGATCTCTGCCATGTCACTTCAGTCTGGCAAACTCCAAGCAACAAAATTATACAGGAGGAGGTAGAGGGACAGCCACCTTGTCACCTGTTCAGATGAGAAATGGACCGTTGCAATAGCAACCCAACACTTCTTACTTAAGTCTTATAAGAATCAGTTTACATTCATACAAAAATCAAAAGGCTTTACATACAATGAAAAAACGCTCTAACTTAAAAATTCATTCCAGCACCAGGCAGCAAACAGCATATTATGCTTCAGATGGATGTATAGGGAGAGAATGACTGAAAATGAAATGGCTAGGAGAATGTGAAGATATTTGCTAGCTATCAAAATGTTCTATGTTCTCAATATTACATATCTTGACAGTTTTATCACCAGAAAGGAGTTCCAGTTCTCCCATTCCTCTCTGCTCCCAGCT